TACTGTCTTTCAGAAGCTCAAGTTACCATTCAATGGTTATTATTATAAATTTAAGTTCAGATTTGGGATTAGTTTTAAGCTTTGAATTACTCTTTATGTTCAAATACAATTGTACTTTCAATATAATTTGAAGTTTATGTTCCAGCGTATGTTTAGATTTAGAATTGATCTCATGCTCAAACTCAATCGCAAATTTAGATTTAATTCTTCATCAAATACATGTTCCTGTTTATGAATAATTTTAAATTTGTTTTATATTTTATTTTATTTTTAATTTTAAACCACTTGATAAGTCCAAATCTAATAAGCAAATTTGGATACATAATTTTTCACTCATAATGAACTTATAATATTTACTATCTAAATAATCTATTTTTCATGTAAGAAAATAATTAATCCATGTTTTATTATGTGAATTCTCATAAGTGATCAGATATTCCTCTCTTTTCTTAAATAAAATATTAACAATTACACAATCATACAATATAGGAAAATCTGATATGATCCTACCGCCTTTATTAGTCACTCCAAACTCATAGTTACTATGAATACTTCAAAAATTTTCTACCACTATACCAACAAGTCCAGTTAAATCTCCTATCATAATTTTTTTTTCTTCAAGAGGTATTCTTTATATTAATTCATCTAAGTCATCCCAAACTTACTAGATCACATATCTTAAACACATTAAAATCTACTTAAATAAACATAAACACTTATAACATTAATAATATTAACATCAACAATAATCTCAAAACTATAATTATATATCCAATTTTATTAAGTTTTACAATATTATCCTTCAAACTCTTATTAATAATCACACCTACACTATTTTTATTATGACTCTTACCTGAACATCATAGTTTAAATCCTAAACTATCAATATTTTTAACCTTTTCTCTCATCCATTTAGTTTCCTAAATACATAGAATATTTATCTTTTTATAAATCATAATATCTATTAATTTCATTGATTTACTTGTAAGAGTACTTATATTTTAAGGTTCTATCTTAATTATAGTTTAATAGTTTTTTGCACACATCCGTCCATGATGTGAAAACCATTTCTTATTTAACGTTGCACCCAAGTGCCAGTGCAGCAACCTTTACACACAATTTCGATGTATCCATATAGCATGTTGCTTCCAAGGAATGCCATAGCATTAACATAATATTCAACAAATTCTACGCTAATTGTCAACTACCTAACGCCTCTCCACATTTCTCATTCAAAACTTGGGATTTCGCAACAACAATATTTTTATTAATAATAATATAATACACATAAATTTTTTAAAACCCTCTTTAGAATGAGGTGTTGCTTCAAAATGCCTCTAGACATATGCCTCATTTAAAAAAAAAAGCTATCCTCACTAGAAACAATAAAGCTTAAGCGTCAAAGCACTCTTTGCACGCCTCAATTTTAGGCACTTAAAGGTGTGTGCCTCAAAACATTTTTTTTAGAGAATGCAAACCTTATGAATTGAATGTCGTCAAGGATTATCAAATTCAAAACCCCTTGCCCAATCTTCATCAAGACATATCTCACAAATATAATCATCTTTACTATTCCAGACAAAGTCATTAGGTGTTATGCTTATGTCCACATCCCACCTAAAGAACGAAACAACTTGATCCAAAAACTTTTAAATGCATGTTTAATTATTATTCTCCCAACCAAAAAGATTATAAATATTATCATTATAAAGAAAAGATAAATTCCACACTTCTAATATATAACATTTTTTTAAAACCAACCGTTCTTTTAAAAACTCACATTCAGAGGGGGAATTTTAACACACTTCATGAATACGAGTTTTTTATCCGTCTCACTAACTTTTAATCTCGATCTATCCTTAACCTCCCTTAAGCTCATAAATTTGACCATACTAAAAAAATTTTGCAAAATCGCATACAACAAACAAGATATAAAGAAGTTTGGAAAACTGGCCATCTTAACCAAAACCTTCGATCATCCTTCACATAAAAATGTTAATTCTGACATAGATATCCCGATTGCTAATAAGAAATGTACAAGGATGACAAAACATTGTACAAAATACCAAACTAGTGAATACATTTCTTACAACTTATCTCTTTAGTTTCATGTATGCACAACTAATCTTTTCATTTCGGACATCCCTAATAACATTCAGTACATGTTAAAAATAACTAAATAGATAAAAGTGTTCATGAAGAAATGAAAGCATAGTCAAAGAATGACACATGCAATTCTCGATCTTACCAAAACAAATCATGTTGGATGCAAATGAATCTTCAATCAAAAATATAAGGCTGATGGGAGCATTTAAAATGGAAACTAGAGTTATTGCAAATAGATTTACTCAAACTTATGGCAAAAATTATAAAGGAATCTTTGCACTAATTGCTAAAATTAACTCTACCCAGGTCATCCTCTCTCTAACTATGAATCTTGATTGATCTCTCCACAAATTAGATATAAAAAATGCATTTTTAAATAGAGATCTAGATATATGCGTGCGTGCGCGCGCTTGTGAAAAAGATTCATAAAGTTAAACTCAAATAAAAAGGATAAGGTTGATGATGATGATATCAACAGAATACCAAAAAATCCATCAAAAAATAAAATTACAGAAAATGAATGCATATTAAAAGAAAATTATGTGCCTCGAGCATTCCCAAGTTTGTTTTGACGTGTACAATCTCTATTTTTCGCTAGGGCACAGTGCAAACGTGTATAAATGACTAATTAAATTCATAAGAAAAAAACCAAGTGTGTCATAATCTCGAACCTACCCTACATATTAATAAAATATATTTTAGTAAGCCAAATGAGAGATAAACATATTAGATTAACAAAAGATGCGGCTTAAGCAAATACAAAGAGTTCAAGCGAAAAAGGCCTATGCAATAAAAAGAGCCGTAAATCATAAAAAAGGAATATATATTTCTGTTTTCAATCATGAAAAAATAGAATATAACAATAAGATCCCTAATAGAAATTATTTTCCAACTCAATTTGTGCTCTCTTGCTAGAAACAAAAAAACTAAGGATTCAAGGAACATAAAAATATTTAAATTATGCTGGTAAGCGGCTGTAAAACTCATCTCCACCTTTTCATAATTGCTCGTACATACATGCATAAGATAAAAAAATATTATATCCTACATCCAGATCTTTGAATGGTTAAGATCTAAAGCAGCTCGATCATCCTCTTTTGACAATTCTCAATGTCATATTTAATTAGTTGAACCTATTTTAAATCTCAATAATGCAAATATGTTATTAAATAGTATAAGATGAATGAAGATAAAATCATAAAAACTCTCCCTCCCTCCCTCCTTCCTTGCTAGATAAAAGAGCTCTTTCCTGCTTTCACCCAGTTTTCTATTACTGTAAGATCATGATGAAGGTTTATTTCTATTTGGAATTGATGATATGGTTTAGTTGACTGCCATACGGCTTCCTATGTTAATCACCATTTCATTTTTGATCTATGGTACATGTTAGCACAATAAATGGAACCCTGACGTGAAACTCAATAAATGTAGTCAAGTACCTGTGCCAGCTTTCAAGTTCTACATGAATGGTTGTACAGAAAACCACTAGGCTAATTTACTTACCACTACCTAAATCAATTAATCTTATCATAAAAACTAAAAGAAATTATAAATATCATCATTTTAACAAAAAAGATGCAGGGAAATGCCCAGGCATGCTAACTAGTAAGTGACAATTTGAGCAAATACTTGCACACTTGCTATATACTGTGCTAGTAAGATCGACAAAACTCATCTTCAAAAGCAAACCATGCCAAAAGATTTTTTTTAAAAGCATCAACAGTAATCAATCCATCCCTTAGGACCTTAATATTGCAAATTCAGATGAACAGGAACTATCTATAAATAACCATTCTCACAGGTATTACGGCCAAAGCCTAAAACCTGGGTTTAGAATAAAAGCCACTCAGTTTTATCAAAAATAACTAAAACTAAAATTACTAGGATTACCGTCGTACCTAAGAATAACCGAACAACTCAGCAGTCAAAAAGTATAACAAGATCCCAAGTAATGGTGATAATTCAAATTTTTATAAGCAGTAAAAGGAATCAAACCAAAAGCTATTATGTTCCCATCATCATAATCACCATCAAATAGACTAAGGCTTCGTTTGGGACCGCTTTTTTATTGCTTCTTAAAGCAATTTTTTAATAAAAAAAATTTTAATTTTTGTACTAAGAAACTGCTTTAAGAAGCAGTAAGAAAGCCGTCCGAAACAAAGCCTAAATCAGCTAAAAGAGTGAGTTAGGCTATAGTCACACTTTACTATAATAGCAAATCATATGTGACCAATTTAAGTATTTTACTAAAGCTTGATGACAGGAGAGCCGGTTGAATTCCCATGAATGCAAGCACCAATGGTATTACTAAATCTTGACATTTAAATCAACTGCCCAAAAGCTAACTCAAATAAAAAGACAAAATGACGCTGAACAGAAAATTTGACTAAGAGAAGAAAGATCTCAAAGATAATTAAAATCAAAATGGGACTTTAATCTAAAATAGTATATCATATCAATAAAGTAATCAATCCCAACATTTCTATCCATAGTATGTAAATCCAATGTTCAAAATAAACAGCAAAGAAAAGTACAAAAAGATTAATTTTAGATCCTATCAAATTCATCAAAGGAAAGGGTAACTCTAGAGTCTAGAGCAATAGTTAAGTTGTCTCCACTATGCCCAGCAATTCATAAGTTAGAATCACGTAAATAGCCTGTAACAATATGAGGAAGGTTATATACAACAAGCCGCCCCTAAAACCCACATTTCTGAGTCTTATGCATCAGTAAACCATTTTTATCAAGCTATAAAAGGTCACTAGCATTGAGTTTAAATGGTCACACCAAAAAATGCATGAATCATCTTCAAAACAACTATTAAGAACTCTAGAACAGTGTATACTTAGTTCAGGTATTTCTTCACGGAAAGAAAATTTGATTTTCACACTCACCTTTGATAACAGAACCCAAGCCTATCTTAAATGTGAATGGTTGTTGTCCGGGATCTTTGGTACTGAAATAAAAAAATAGGGGAATGATCATGATCGATCTAAAAGAGACAGATTCTTCATAATTTTCATTTAAAAAAGAGATAAACTTTAATGACTTACCTCCAAAACTTTTTTGATAGATCACCATCCTTACCTTAATATACATAAAGTAAATACAACTTGTAAGCACTAGTAACTAAATTATTAAAGCATAAGAAAGGAAGAAGAACTTGCACATACAAACAATAACTCATAAAATCAAACAAAGGGCTCAGAAAAATAAAACCTAGGCGAACTAGTGGAGCAACAACTTAAATGACCACCATAAACGATGAAAGCCCAACTGCTTAAGTAGCAGAATACTCCACATGAAAGATATACTGAGAATATAGGCTTTACGAGTAATCCAAGACAAATGCATGGGAAAAACTAGTCCAACGGAAGAATAACAGTAACAAAGGTTCAAAACTAAATGATTGGTTCATGTTTCCATCAATCATTCCCTAGCTTTTATGCCACTCTGATTGACAGTTGCGAAAAGATGATCAAAGGTTCAACTGAAGAGAAAAGAAAATAAAATAAATTATATATTTTCTTCTCATTTTGAATGGGAGCCTTATGAGAAAAAATAAAATTACTCGTCCAATTGTTGATTTAGAGTCAAAAGAAAATAAATTATATGAAATATTATAATCAAAGTAACACATATCGCCTCAGAAATACATATAGATTAAAATTATTGGGGGATTTACATACATGCAATTGAATTTCTACATGTTTACAAGTATAACACCTAAATCTTTATAGTTTTTTTTTAACCTAAATCTTTATAGTAACTTATATAAAACATTCATGTCTAAATGACATCCAAATATATGCAAGAAAATGTGTATTTAACTTTAGATAAATTAATGTTAGTGATATTTTTTATGTATTTAGATATTAGGTTGTTATGTGAATAAGTAAAAAGATTTGGGTGTTAGATAAGTAAATACATAAGAATTTTTTAATTTGATGGTATACATTTAAATTCCCTGTAGCTATTTTATTACACTAAGGGTAGTTTGGGTGTTATGAAAATTTTTAGTATGTGAATTCCATCAACTTTCTAATCATTTTGAGAGAAAAACAAAATCCATCATGTTCATTAATGTTTTCCGCTCATTTATTTCCTTTTCTTCTCGTTGAAAATTCCCAATTAAAAGAAAGCATTTACTTTCATTCTAATTATTTTATTTTCTCTTTAAAATCTAACCCAAACATACTGGAAAACAGATGCAGCGTGTTTGTGATCAGAACACTAATATCAGCTTGATCCAACAACTACAAGAGTCAGCCAAAAAGAAAGGATTGTCTAGTAACCTCATAATATGATAACATCAACAAAACAAAATTTGGAGATCATCTCAATTTTTCAATATGTGAACCATCACAAACCATGATATTTTTCCATTCCAGAGCTCATTAAGAATATATATTCCAAGATTCAAGATCTTAGAAGAGACTAAGAACCCCTACAAATCCATCTATCATATCATTATCCCATACTTGCAGCACGTGTTAAACCGTCCTCCTTGCTGCATATTACTCATTCTAATCATGCTTTCCTCAACAGCGTCACCTTAAATATTATCGCCCCAATAAAGCACTACTTACATTTTAGTAAGACCTTATCTTTTAAATCACACTGAACAATTATTAACAAACTATAACGAAATTCCTGTATTAAAACATCAGTAAATGGTTATGGGCGAATCGGCCCCGGTGAATTATTGGTCCAACGGTGTTCCAAAAGTTGTAGAGCTCGCCATCTTTCATATCGCTTCTTTTTCATTTTGAAAGCCACCGCGAGAATATAAAACCTAAGGTCGCGATCAGATGGTGTTGATCCAAAACAAAAGAGCGAAAAAATTAGAAGAAGAGAAACAAGGTAGAAAGAAACGCAGCAGGCAGGACTAACCAAAGCCAGTACAGTGGACGGTGACGTTTTGGCCGCGGACAGGCTTGGTTCCATTGCCGGTCTTCAGAATCTCCTTCTGCACTCCCATCCCTACTTTTTTCTTGGTCGCGCCGCGTCGACCCCAACCAAACCGGTCGACTTCAGGGCAGATAATATATATAATAAGATAAGTGGCGCGACCCTGGGTGTGTTTACCAATTTTCCCCAATTTTTATTTGAGAGAAATTGAGGGTTATTAAATCAATAAAATAAATAAATTTAGAACTAGGCAAAATCACCCTTTGAGTGGGCAACTTACTCAAGTTATAAAAATATTTAAAAAAAAAAATTAAGAGAGAGAAATTAGGAGAGAGAAATAAACTAGAATGGATAAATTAAAGAAGTAGGTAGTGAAATAAAATATAAGAGATAAATAAAAAAATTCAAAGCTTTTTTATTGATGTCATGTTGGGGAGTTGGTATATAAGAATTTTTGTAATTAAAATCTGAAATACAAAAAAAAAAATTCTTATTTTTTATTAAATAATTTAGAATGAAATTTTTTATAAGTTATTATGTGTTAAACAGATTCATAATTTAATTTATCATAATCAATTTAAAAATATATCTTTTTTCATAATTTTTTATTCATAATATATTATTACTATTTTAAATTTATCTTGTTTTAAAGAAAACGATATCTAAAATAAATATTTAAATTAATCTTGTTTAAAATAAAATAATGTTTTAAATAAATATTAACATGATTTTTCTGTTGGGAATGTCGCTATTTTTAGAAGTCAATTTTACAAACTTTTAATGGACAGGTACATCGACAACAACCATGATGATGCCTTTGTCGTTTTGCTAGCTGAGAATAACCAGTTATGCCCAAGCCTCTACCAATCATTCCTTCTTATTTCTTGTCTGCATTAGGTATGTCATCAGTTATTTAAAAATTTTATGTTTTCGGTGTGAAAGTGCTCTAATACAACTTGAAAGTTTGAGGAGGTTGTTAGACCTCAATGAACTAGCCTTAAGGCTCACTAAGATGAAAGCAATACTATCACTTGATGCGAAAGCTAGTACACTTATCAAAAGCTACAAAGATGGTGATAATAATCTAAATCAATACAACATAATATTAATCACATATTTTTCAACCAAACAGTTATCACAAAAATAAATGTGAAAAATAAAGTGTGAACAAACAAAATAAAAAATAAACACACCAGATTTTATAGCGGTTCGGTCCAACTTGACATACGTCTACTCCCCAGAACCTCATGTTCCAAGTATTACATTAAACATTTAGTGACTCTTCTTTAGCCCCCACAGCTAGGTGGAGAAACACTTACAAAATCTTTTCAATTCCACCAACCTAGTATGACAGAGGACCGAATCTCCTTTCAAAGGCAGAGAACATTGACTCATTTTTCTCCCTCTAGGAGATGGTAGAGAACCACGAATCCCTTTCACCTTCCCCGGTGCGCGCGGTGGAGTAGCTGGGTCTTGTAACACCAAGGAGATTTTCTTCTTCCCAAAACTTCCCCCAAGACAAACCTTGAATCTGATGTGCTAAGATGCAAGCTTGCTAGAGCAACCGTGTGAAACCCCCTCCACAATCCCTTGAAACCCACAATGATCTTCTCCCTCTCAAACTCCACTATTTTCTCACTCCCTTTCAAAACTCTCTCTTCAAGTTTTCTCCAGAATAATGGAAATTTAATGCATGCCAAAGACACTTATAATATCTTTAATGAAAGCTTAAATAAAGGGTTTAAAAAATCCAAAAAAATTAATTCTACCATCAACGATCGTACATTACAATTGCAGGACCGTCTAGTGCGATGTGCAGAATTTGACCTGACAATATTGTACGATCACCAAATAGCACACTACGAACAGTACGATGTTGGGGATCATTCTTGCCGATTAGATGAATAATTATGGTATTTCATCTAGGATGATCAAGTATCGTCCATGTATCTCTTGGGTTGTCCAGTACGATCTTCATTAATCATCCAGGATGATCGGATTGAACAAATTAACTATATTTAGTCCTCTAATAACATGATCAATTTAGGCATTATCATAGATTGTCCAGTACGATATACATCATCATTGACAATTAAAACAAAATATGAAATTTAAAATCTTGCTAAAATAATGATTGGTGGTTATTTTTCATGATCATAATTGATCGTCTAGTACGATTAGTTAGATGAGCTGATCGTATAGTATGAAATAAATCGTACAGTACGATTAGTTCAAAATTTGAATATCTGGTTTTGATTCAATTTCACTCCCCCTGAGTGTGTGTGTACATTGTCACCAAGCTAACATACACCCTTATAAGACTTAACTCAAAAAATAAAAAATATATTAATGAATATTAAAAAAATCTTTATAGCATAACTTATTCAACCTAATCTTGAGCCTTGAATTTTTGTTGAATTGTGCATAATGTTCCTGAAATGTTAGTGCACACACAAACAAATATACACTATGAATACAAGTAGACATACAAATGTGAGTCACAATGTTTGTTATCATAAAAAACATAAACTCGTGAGTTCGAATTGCAAGACATACGACAGTGGCCAATCCTAACTAGGGGTGAAAGTGAGCCGAGCCGGCCCAATCCAGCTCATTTATGGGCTCGCATACTGAACTTATTGAGCTCACAAGTCGAGTTCAAGCTTGATGAGGTTCGGCTCGTGAGCTCGCAAGTGGACTCATAATTAATTATTTATTTAATTAAAATAATATATACTATTTATTATAATATAGGTTAATGTATACAGTATAAAAGATGGCATATTGGCAGATACTTTTCATTAATGCAAGCTTTTCATTAATGCGGCTACTTTTCATTTATCATAATATATGTTAATTACTTAATTCATATAGTATAAAAGTGACGGATGCCAATTCACAGTTCATTACCTCATTTCAAGTGATGGCTTCTTTTCATTAATGTAAATTATCATCCTAAGTTTGAAATATGGGATCCAAACGATAGACACAACCCAGAAATGAGAACCTAAGCGGGAAAAAATAAAAAAATTTGGATGGATGCGAAACAATGGACACATAGTACGGCACAAAATCGTGCGGCTCATGAGCCGGCTCGTGCTCATTTATGGTGGGACGAGTTCGAGTACGAGTTCGAGCTTACTTTCCGACTAACAAGCTGAGCTCGATGGTGCTAAAACTCAACTCGTTTACACTTCTACTTCTAACTGTCGGTAGTGCGCCAACCTAAAAGAATAACTTTGATTGTAGAATGTTCGTTTGTAAATATATAGAGGTTGTCATCCAATATCAGGCTGTCAACTGGATTGAGCATAAATACTGACAATTCAGGACAGAACTCGCACACTCCATTCTTTGTGCAACCAAAAAGTAATTGATCCGAAGTTGTCATTCATTATTTGTACAAAGAATTTGTGTTTCTATTTGTACAGAGAAATTTTCATTCATTATTTGTATATATATATTCTTCATTTGTATTTGATAATCTTGATTTGTAACTGTAATTTTATACATATTCTTTGTAGACATAATTTCTATAGAGATAATTTATGTGTAATTTTATGCATAAGTGTAGAAAATAAACAAAAACACTACACAATGGTACGTATAGAAAATGGAACAAAACATAAAGTTAAGATATTCTATTAAGTTGATTATGCGAATAGAAAATAAATAGTACACAACGATACATAGCAGTACACAACAATAATATATAGCATATGCGCTTCCCATCATAATTCTTACATATTCTGCTATCGATTGTGATTGAGCGAGAATATATTTATATGTGAAACATTCTGGTATGTTTGAGAACTTCACCTGACTCGATGGTTCTCCGGGTGTACATTATTTTTTACTAAATTATTTTTTTTATCACATGGCAATACACAAAAAATACAACGGTACACAACAACGGGACATAGAAACAGTAATACCCAATAATAATACATATCAAATTATGTTTTTTATCTGAACTTGCACATAATCCAAACTTACATCTAAGCATGTGCAGAGCAATATAAATTCAGATGAGTAAAAAAGATTTGAATGATACACCATAAGCCATTAAAAACTCTACATTTTTCAAATGAAAAATAATAAAACCTCTTTGGAGTTTTGAGTATACCAATAATATTCCCCACTTATCTCGTAATTCATTGCGGTAAGTCTTTCTGGATGTTTTGTGTAATGCCTTCCATCTCCTTGTAGAATTAGACTTCCTCCAAACCGGTTTCCATTTTCATATCATCTTTCTCACTTTTCTTTCTCACCTTTATTCTAAAGAGAAGTTTTGTCTCAGGTGGCGTAAATAGTTGGTCAATATCCTAAACGCTAGACATTATCAAATTTATGTTCAATTTTCTCTTTTAGACCAGGCCAGGTCGCCGGTCCGCACAATAAATTTGGAAAATAAATGTTAAATATTTGTATATATATATTCTTCATTTGTATTTGATAATCTTGATTTGTAACTGTAATTTTATACATATTCTTTGTAGACATAATTTCTATAGAGATAATTTATGTGTAATTGTATGCATAAGTGTAGAAAATAAACAAAAACACTACACAACGGTACTTATAGAAAATGGAACAAAACATAAAGGTGAGATATTCTATTAAGTTGATTATGCGAATAGAAAATAAATAGTACACAATGATACATAGCAGTACACAACAACGGTACATAGCATATGCGCTTCCCATCATAATTCTTATATATTCTGCTATCAATTGGGCATTTGATGGACCGAGAATATATTTATATGTGAAACATTCTGGTATGTTTGAGAACTTCACCTGACTCGATGGTTCTCCGGGTGTACATTATTTTTCACCAAATTATTTTTTTTATCACATGACAATACACAAAAAATACAACGGTACACAACAACGGGACATAGAAACCGTAATACCCAACAATAATACATATCAAATTATGTTTTTTATCTGGACTTGCACACATAATCCAAACTTACATCTAAGCATGTGCAGAGCAATCTAAATTCAGATGAGTAAAAAAGATTTGAATGATACACCATAAGCCATTAAAAACTCTACATTTTCAAATGAAAAATAGTAAAACCTTTTTGGAGTTTTGAATATACCAATAATATTCCCGACTTATCTCGTAGTTCGTTGCGGTAAGTCTTTCTGGATGTTTTGCGTAACGCCTTCCATTTCCTTGTAGAATTCGACTTACTCCAAACCGGTTTCCATTTTCATAACATCTTTCTCACTTTTCTTTATCACCTTTATTCTAAAGAGAAGTTCTGTCTCAGGTGGTGTAAATAGTTGGTCAATATCCTAAACGCTAGACATTATCACATTTATGTTCAATTTTCTCTTTTAGACCAGGCCAGGTCGCCGGTCCGCACAATAAATTTGGAAAACAAATGTTAAATAATATAATTTTTTCGAGTTTGATCCAGAGCCATCGGGCGGCCATAGAGAGCTACCTCCGAACTCTGCACATAAAATAATTTATCATCTCCTTGGCTATTAGCAATAAGGCATTAAGGCTTCATTTGAGATGATTTTTTTATTGTTTCTTAAAGTAATTAGTTATTATAAAAAATTTAATTTTTGTATAAAAAAATTATTTTAAGAAGTGATAAAAATGTTGTCTCGTATAAAGTTTTTCTCATATAAAATCTAAAATTTTATTTGGAACAATTTTTTTTTATTGCTTAAAACGTCTCAAATTGTGCAGCTGTTGGATTTACGGGAGCCGTTAGATTGGGAACAAGCACGCGGGAGGGATTCCGCGGTAGACGTGGATGCACTTTAGCCGGAGCGGAATCTATGAGGTCTTCGGCGGGGTTTTTGGTGGCAAAGGCGGTGCAGTGGCGACGGACGGAGAATAGATGTCCTACTGGTGGGATCGTGGTTTGGGTGGTGCGGTGCTCTTGTTGTGCTTCGTCTTGTTTCCGGCAATCGCGCTGGTGGTTCGTTGGAAATTGAGGCTCGCGGATGCAAAGCTGACGGAGATCATACGCCTTGTGAGGTTCGCAGCGGCCGAGGCGGAGAGGGCCGAGATGGAGGCAGCTGTATTCGCCTCAGCGTCGAACCCGCCAGCCTCGGTTGTTATCGTAGGCGGAGCTGTGATGTCGAATTGTGCCGTTTGTCATAACCCCACCACCAGCCGTTGCGCACGATGCAAGGTCGTCAAGTACTGGTTAGTTGCTTTTTTTTAGTTGATTGATTTTGTTTTGACTGTGAAATTGTATTAATCTAGTTTGGGGCAAAGTTTGGTCAGGATTCGGGTGTATTTTTCTGTTTACGAATCTGTTTCCTTGGAAAAACTAATCTGATGCTAGATTTGTTGATAGCTTTCTTCAACCTGGGTACTAGGTGACGAGGAAACGTAAGTGATGTTTACCTTAAATAAAAAATACGATAGCTAGATTTGTTGATAGCTTTCTTCAACCTGGGTACTAGGGTACGTTTTTGATTCTTCACTTAAATAAAAAAGAAAAGAAAATATTATGCTTCAAGCTAACCACACTGGGGACGAGGAAACGTAAGTGATGTTTACTGCATCATTAGTAAAATTGTCCTTAGGCATATATTATTGGTTTGTTACAAGTTGGTTATAGTATTCTAAAATATTCTTGATTTCTCTAGGTTTCTTGCTAGCTTATAAATATAGGAGTTCTAAGAGGGAAGTAATATGAATTAGTATTTTTGGAATTAAAACAGTATTTTCACTGTTTTTTTTGGGTGTTTGAGCTGTTTAGCTCTTGTAGTTTTCTTCATCATGCTTCTTTGGTGATTCTCCCCACATCAGATGGTATCAGAGCCAGGTATGACCCTTGACGTTGATCAGGGCCCTGGACTGCAGATAAATCAACCCTTGACGTCGATCGGGGTTTTGGATGCTTGGGGAAGGCCATGTATGAAGCTAGGATGTCGACGACGTTCGAAGCCTCCACCAGCCGGCAGCCATACCTGCGAACGTACACATCCATCCGCAATCAACCCCTCGCGATCGACCTATACCGTCGATCGGAGCTCGTGTCATTGGTTTTTCAATCCGCGCGAACAGCCGCGACGGCATCCACGGCACTCGCGACAGCAGGCATCCATGCCAGTCTTGCGCAAATCAGGCTCCGCCTTCGCTCCCGAGCATGACCAGCCACACTTCACTCCTGCGTGTGACCAGATCCCGCAATCCGAACCGCCAACAGCTTCCCTTCGCTCCAGCAAGCCACCTTCGGTCTCCACTCTAGCACGCAACCCGAACCCGCAGTCCAGCACCCGAGCATGCTCCATCTACACGCACCAATCTCCATCAGCCGGCAATCATACCGGCGATTCGACCTCCAACCGGAAACCGCGATTGGATCTGTATCGACGACAATCAAACATTTCTCACGATTCAGATCAGCTCCCGCCCTCGGCTTCGCATTCCGCAATGCCGAGCCTAGCTCCGCTCCGCCCCATCTTCCTGCCCCACACTTCATGATGTAGTGGATCGGCGGAAGTCGATACCTGCAAGAAGGATTTGAAAACTCCCAATCCAGGGAAGAAGAAGAAGAAAGCTTTTCAAGCTTCAAAAGGTGTATATATCATTCAATGATCCCTCTCTTACAATAGCTTGTATATTTATAGGGTAAAAGGAGTATTCTAGAAACTAGTGGTAACAAACTAAGATAAAGTAATCCTAAGGACAATATAACTAAAGATGTTCCTACATCACTTCAACATGCGCTCCTCCACACGGCCCGCGTCATCATTTCACTCATTCGCCCGTGATCATTGCCTCACTTTGCTCATCTACTTTTAGCAAGTGCAGAAATCCGAAATTGCTCCATGAATTCCAAACTCTGTTATTCAACTGCTCTGCCAATTCCATTTTGATCGATAAGATGGCTATCTTCTCCCCCGCATGGCTCACAGGTTCGCATTCCTTTTCTGTATTGGGGAGGCAGTCCACTTGGATGATAGGTTGACAAAGCTTCCACATCAGGGCATCGTCATCTGCACTTAAATCGGAGTCGTCAGCTGACGAATCAACTTCTATTGCCCCTTTGCAGCTGGAGTCTCCGGTTGGGCAGTTTCTCTTTGAGATCCTCCTTAGTTACCCTCATCTTGTTCCCGCCACTATTGACCTGCAGTTGCATTTGATTCAACCCGCTTGTGATGAGGATAAGAGCAATGATGAGTCATCCTCTTCTGGCACCAAGCTAGTTTTGCACAGGAGAATTGTTGAATTGAAGGCTAATGGAAGGAGAAGGGCTCTTGAAAATATTATATGTTATTCGGAGGATGAGAAGATGGTGCAGCTCCATTCTCATGAGACTTATGAGATGAGCAAGAATCATCTCGCACTCATTTTAGTACTCCACCATCTCTTCATCATCCAAAACCTGTCCGAACCAAACCTCATCCAAGAGTTCCGCGAACAACACTTTCGGTGCCGATTCACTCGATCGTCCTCGTCTGCACGATACCACTCGAGCATCCAAGATCCAGCATCCGCCTCCGTGCGCGACACCAGTGCTCATTAATCTTCATCTGCATCGCAACGTTTTGCCTCCATCAGTTGATGTTGATGTTGTGGCTTCTAGCGGAGCTAGCGGGAGCAGGGGTGATCCCAGACTCTACCAAGCATGTGATAGGCTATGATGGAAATTGGCTATTTGCTCCCTCAGGTTGTTTGCTCAAATACAAGATAAATGGCGATTTTGAGATCTGTCCCAGGCCTGCGACCAAATCCCGTTCGCATGGACTCCACCCCGTGCCTCGTCTTTCTTCGTGCCAGAGGAGAATGATGCAGAGCATCATTAGTAAAATTGTTCCTTAGGCATATATTATTGGTTTGTTACAAGTTGGTTATAGTATTCTAGAATGTTCTTGATTTCTCTAAGTTTCTTGCTAGCTTATAAATATAGGAGTTCTAAGCGGGAAGTAATATGAATTAGTATTTTTGGAATTAAAACAGTATTGTCACTGTTTTTTTTTTTGGTGTTTGAGCTGTTTAGTTCTTGTAGTTTTCTTCATCATGCTTCTTTGGTGATTCTCCCCACATCATTTAATGAGGCTATGGAGTTTCTGCAATATATTATAGGATCAAAAAATTTCTTTCTATTTTGTATTGAGGCGTTGGGGCAGATTATAGGATAAAAAATATTTCCTTTTTTAAATATTTTGTAGTCTCCAACGAGGATACTGCTGCTTATTTTATTCTAGGCAGATAGTGGGCGAATTGAAATAAATAGTTAATTATCTTATTCTATTGCCCTCCCTCCCTCTCCTCTCCTCTCCTCTAGTTCTTTCGAGAAATTATTAGGTGCAAAGTCCAGACGTAGAGATATATTCGGACTCCAATAAAATATTGACACGTGGATATTCAATTGGATTTATTTTTTTACTTTATATATTTAATGTGTCCGCAAAACTTTAAGCCAAATGTACCAAAAAATGCAGCCAAAGCACTGTTAAAGCGTAAAGCACAATCAAAGCACAATAAAAAGAGCAGTCAAAGCGCACAAAAAAAAATGTAACTAAAACGCACTCCACTGTCATATTTTAAGTGGATGTCCGGACGTGTCTCTACGTCCGGACTCCGCACCTAATAATTTCTCTATTCTTTGGTTGTACTAAGGTTTGGTAAAAATGAAATTTGAAGGCTAGCTATTGTGATTATGGTTTACGTTATCGTCTTCACAACTAGGGTAGTAGGGGCATTGGTCGAGATTTTTATTTCCTAGTGGAAACTTTGCTTTATGGTGGCGTATTAATTGGTAGTTTTTCTGATCGCTGATGGCTTTCTTTGCCATCTTATTCCTTCCGACTGAGGATAATAATGACACTACTCTCCTTGGTCTATTGGTTGAGAGCTTAGGCTTCCAACTAAGAGGTCCAAGGTTCGAGTCTATGTGTATGCGTTGTGTGTGTGAGTTTGACTTAATTGGCCTAAATGTCCCAAAAAAAAAAAAAGATAATAATGGAACGTGGAATGATAAATAACAAGGTTTGGATCATTCATGATTTTAATATCGTTAGAAATAGAAGTTTAATATTCCATGTTATTTTGTTGTTGTATGGCTGATTTAGTGATTGGCATTTTGTTATGGTTTCATATGACTAGATCAAACTTCAAGATAAAACACATCTCTGTACATGGAACTGTTTAGAATTAAATTGACATAGAAGATAGACAACAAAAGAAAATGGGGAATTTCAATAAATCCCCTCTCTTCAACAATAATTATTTTTGTTGTAAAATATCAAGAACTTTCTCCCCAAATTGTTCCAAATCTAGGTGATCTTCTATATATAAATGGCCATCAAATATGGTTATATCGATTTTTATCTTGAAATCACTGAGCACACATTTTTGTAGAGGACACCATCGCGGGATGATCTAGAAATAGTTGTTTAACTTTTGAATATTAACTGGAGTGGTTGGTCCACTGTCGAGGATTCCCAACTTCATTGGTTTCATGAAGATTCGGACGAGCCAATGAATTATGTTGTCAGGGATGCTATAGAGCCCAATCCATTGCAATGGTTTCATAGTTTGCTCATATGGTTGCAAAGTTCACTGATGTGGTTTCGGAGTGAGTTTTTTCTCATGCTTGAAGTTCTAAGCTCCCTCGTATTTCCATTACAAATTATTGGAAATTCGATGTCAACACATCCATGACTTAACCTTAGTTCTCGAGTCAATTTAGTGTAGAAGTGGAAAAACAAGTAGAAGAAAGCATAGAAGTCATGGAAATCTCTTTTCTATTCAATAATAGTTCTTTTTGTGGGAAAATATCAAACATCATATACACACACATATAGTTAACATAGTAAATGAGGAGGAAACTGAGTGGAAGTTTGGTGAGCTGCTTCATTTTGTCTTCTTCTCTAAAATTGCTTGATGAAATTTGGTGAGTTGTATGGAACTGCCATCTAGTGGTTGGTTGCTATATACATCCACAATATTGAATGTGGTTGATGTTCAAATATGAATGGAGAGAAACGATCTAAGCATTGCCATTTATGTGTCCTTCGACAGAGAAAGGTCCAAGTTTTTGAGGTTAAGTGTCGATAGGGAGGCACTTCTTGAGAAGGTGCATTATAGCTAAGTCACCCATAATAAAATACTTTATGCCGATTACCTTAATTAACTTGTTTCTTATACGATAAAGTTGTGCTTATTAATTTGTTTGTTACATCTCA